GTCTATGTGTTTCCTATTGCCAAAGGGGCCCTTTAGAGTAGTGAGAGAAGATCTTCACCCTGAAACTTACAGCATCCCTTCTCAGCAGGATGTAGCTAAGAGAATACGCCATCCCCTTTTTCTTATGAATCAGGGTGAAGTCTCTCTCAGGGAAGAGTGATAAGGAATGGCAAAGGACACACTGACAAAGGAGATTCATCAGAACTGGCTTTGACAAGCACTGTGGCAATCGGACAATTAAAACAGACTTTCAAGGGCGGGGGGAAAGAACGAACTGAGGAGGAGGGTACAGAAAATAGTGCAACAATGAATGAAGGAAAACCCAAAATCTCTGTAAATGTTCATTAAAATTAATTTTTAAAAAGTTGTAAAACCTACATAAAGTAACAAGAAAGTCAAACTTCACTTCCCACATTGATACAACACTAAACAATTGACATCCAGTTGACTCCAACTCAAAACAACCCTGTATAGATCAGAGTAGAACTATAAAATTCTTAATGGCTACATTTTAAGAAGTTGATAAACTTTCATCTGAAATGCCTCTGAGAAGACTTGCATCTTCAACTATTTTATTAACTATTTCATTAACTATTTACACCACCCAAGGACTCCTGCAACAATGAAAAAAATCAAGCCCACTGCCATTGACTCAATTAAAATTCATAGTGACCCTTACATCAGTATTTTGAGGCTGTAAATCCTTAAGAGAGACTTCCCATCTTGCTCCCAAGGAGTAGTTGGCAGATTTGAAACAATGACCTTTTATTTAATGATACACTCCTGCCACATTGATACTACCTTTAAATGTTAATAATGAAATATTGCAACAACCCTAAAGATGTATTCTGAAAGCCAAGATAACATTACCTAGAAAATATGCAGCTCCTTGAAAGGTTATAAACAGTGAGCAGAAAAAAGCTAGATATCCTGAACATAACAAGCCAATGTCATGCACAAATATCTTTGGTAACAAAATTTAAAAGGAAAATCTTAACAATAAAATGCATATGTTGTTCTTGTTGTGTCATCAACTCACCTGTGATTCATAGCCACCCTATGTACCATAGCTCTACAACCTACCCTGTCCTGTCTGCCATTGCCCTAGTTACTGTATTAATCCATCTCATCTGGGGTCTTCCTATCCTGCACTGTCCGTCCACCTTCCAGGAATGATGTCCATCTCCAAGAATTTGTCTCGACCGGCCACGTGCCCAAAATATGTAAGACAAAGCTTCAAAATCTTAAACTCCAAGAAGAAATTTGGTTTCACCCTCTCCAAGACAGACCCATTTGTTTTCTTTGTTATCCATGGTATGTTCAAGACTCTTCCCCAATACAACAATTCAAGGGCATCAATTTTTCTTCTGTCATTCTTAGTCATTATCCAGCTCTCTGATTCAGAGCAAGTAATTGTGGAAACCACGGACTGGATCAGGTGTACCTTAGTCTCTAGCTGGCATTGTTGCTTCTCATTACTCTGGAAAAGTCCCTTACAGCAGATTTATCTAATGCAATTTGTCTTCTGATTTCCTGACTGCTGGTGCCAAGACTGTTGACTGTAAAGCCAAGCAAGCTGTAACGTTAAAAACCTCAATTTCTTCTCCATTCATCATGGTGCTGCTTGATGTTGATCTTCAATTAATATTGAAGACAACAGTCCTTGACCTTCTGCAGCATGTGCTTCAGATCTCAGATTCAGCAAGCAAGGCTGTATCATCTATATAACATAGGCTATTGATGAGTCGTCCTCCCATCCTGATGCGACATTCCTCCTCATAATTCTTCCTCCAAGGGCTTCTCAAATGAACTGTTTTGCTTATCAGCATTCCTCCTCCACATGCTTCATGAATGATCTGTTCTGTATATAGATTTAAAATGTATAGAGGCTTCATGCATTCCTGACGCACTCCCTTTATGATACTGAATGTTTCCCTGCTCTGTTCTGAAGACTGCTTCCTGGTCCAATTATAGGTTTCACATAAGCACAATCAAGTGTTCTGGGATTCACACTCTCCCCAAAGTTAGTCACAATTTGTTGTTATCCACACAGTCAAATGCCTTTGAATAGTCAATGAAACACAGATAGATATCCTTCTGGTATTCTTTGCTTTCTGCCAAGATCCATCTGACATTGGCAATATTAAAAATTATTTACAATTTCAACACAATAAAAAATTTTGGATAATCCCATGAACCTTGTGCAAGATAATTTAAGAATCACAAATTTTTTTGGCAAGATAATTTAAAAATAAGATTCTTGTTGCAAGGAAATTTAAGAACTGTTAATTCTTCTGGTATCCTGAGTTTTTTTTTCAAATCCACAGGCATGTAACTGCACAATAACTTCAGATACTAAATAACTATGAATGAGAACGTAAACACAAAATCTTATTATTGAAAATGCTCGACTTACCAAAACACTGCTGACAAGAGTCACCTCAAACATGATGGGAAGAAGATTAAATACTAGCGCACTCAGGACAAAACTGATACCCCTTGTTCCTCTGTCAATTGCCTTAGATAAAGCTCCTGTCTGTCTGCTCAAGTGAAAACCCAAATCTAGGCTGTGAAGATGGAGAAAGACATTTTTGGCTATTCTTCGAATTGAATTTTGGGCTACTTTGCCAAATACTGCATTTCGAACTTCATTGAAAAAAGCAGCTCCAGCTCTTGACACACCATCTAAGAAATAAAAAGATATGTAAAATTAAAATCACAAGAGTATAAAAATGGTTCAGGTTGAGAAAATGCTTTTCCAATGAACAAGTCAATTACTGACAGTATCACAGAACACTAATACACAAACCAACCTAGGAATTTAATACTGTAATACATATTAACCTTTACACAATAATATGCACATATTTTCAGTGCTATTTTCCCTCAGAGATTCTAGATGCTGGTGTCATAAATTATGATTTTTAATTCATTCATACAGTTTTTTATTTCTGTCATTGCTAATGAACATATTTTAATAAAATAATAAACTCTGACATGTATGCAAGTATAAATAATCAACAATTTTACTATTTTACTACACAAAAGTAACAGCAAAATAACTTTACTGCAAAATATCTTTTAAAAAGAGCTTAACAATAAGAAAAATTCACTGCTACTGAGTCAGAACTAGCCCAAAGATGGCCCTCCAGTGGGTTTTTAGAGGCTTTAAATCACAAGAGAGGAGACTGACCATTTTTCTCCCACCTGTCTTTGAGGTGACAATTCCTTTATTTAGTAGTCCAGAAGAGTTTTAATTTAATGTCTTATTTTATACTGGTTTTGTAGAACATAAAACTGTTAATAGGGAATTTTTGCAAAGTCTATCATATAAAAATAATCTATAAAGCAATAAATTTAAATAGTCTACGTTATATTATGAAAAGATCATCTGCCCAAGTATGATAAAATCCTCTGGAAGAAAGTCACATCTGTACACAGATTAAAGAATGACACATACAGCCAATTAAAACTGCTGTTGCCATGGTTGCCACTGTATTTGGTGCTTCACTAAGGTTCAGCATATTTCCCGACATCTGGTTGAGACTGTCTACAGCATATTTAAACATGAAGGGAACCACAATATTCATAGCCTAAAAACATAAAAACAACAATTATCCATCATATGCAAATAAAAAGATAAATCCTTAAATTAGTATTCAGATATTCTTAACTATTTACTGACACAGAGATATTAGCAGTAGAGATAGACTCTTCTAATTTGTAAAGAGAACCTTTTTGGAAATGAGAAACTTGTCATTTGAGGAGTCTTACATTATGTTGACTATCATTTAAATACTCACAATCTATGTAGATAAGGGAGAGCTATTATAGTGTTGTCCACAGTGAGTTGCACTGCAAATTCATAGGAGTCAGCAGAACTCCTATGAACATATGTCAATAGAAAAGTCTAAAACTTAAAAAAGAAAAGCAAACCATAAAGGAATGAAAAAAGAACTGTGAGAAACTTATGAAAGGTATGTTGTGGTGGTGGTTGTTGTACTGCTCTGGGGTCTGAATGCACCAGTAGCTTCTTGTACAAATATGAGCAATATCCCCTTGTGCAATTTATAACCTCGGAAACACAATGCAGTGTCAGCTAAGTGTTGTTTCTGACTCAATAGCTATGGATTTAAGGCTTTTGTGGCTTGCTTAAGGGTCAGTGTTTTGGTTGGTTGTTTTTTGTTTTTTTAAATAAAGATTAGGAAAATATTATTTCATGGAATTATCCCTAATCATCCATTTGAAAAGCTCTGCTATCTGAAATTCTAAAATCCTCATTGCACATACAGTAAATTGCCTCTTATTGTAGTCTATATGTACATAAACACACAGAAAGAAACAGAGATATGTACAGAGGTATACATATATAGAGAGCACTGGTGGCCTAATGCTAAGGAGCCATGCTACAATCCCGAAGGCACGCAGTTTGAGAGCATCAGCTGCTCCACAGGAGGACAGGCAATCTCCTCCCATACGATAAACTGCCCCTGAAAACCCACCAGAAAGTCAGCTATAGGTTGATTCCAATGTGATGGTCTATAAGAACAACATACATATATATACAGGGAGCTATGGTGGCTTCAAGGTAAGGAGTTGTGTTGCACACCCAAAGACACACAGTTTGAGTCCACCAACTGCATTATGCTTAGTGAAAAACTCAGTCACAAAAAACCAAATACTGCATAAGTCTGCTACTGCTAAAATAAGAGTGTAATGAGGGGGAAGACGAAGGGGAAGGAAGAACAAAAATGGAATGGGTAGGCAACGAAAATTTCAAGGATTAAGATACAGAAAGATTTTGTAGGAATTAGTAGTAAATGAGATATTACTAAGGAAAGAACTGATATAAAAGATATCAATAATTTTTTTAAAAATCTCCTAATTCACTGCCATTGAGTTGTTTGTGTTCCATGGTGATCCTACAATGAGATTCCAAGGTTGTAAATCTTACAGGAAGAAACTTCCCATCTTTTTCACTCAGACCAGCTGTTAGATTCCAATTGTAAACCTTTCAGTTAGCAGTAGAATACTAAACCTACTATGGCTCCTATGAAGAAATGTAAATAGAAAAGTCGAATGCCACCAGGACCCCTATGAAGAAATATCAATAGAAAATCCCATAGCCGAGAAAGAAAAAGAAAAACCATAAAAGAATGGGGGGGGGAAGCCTGAGAGATTCTTATGGAAGATATGTGTTGTTGCTTTCGTGTGCTGTTGATCCAGTGGGTTTTCAGAGGCAGTTAATAAAAAAAGAGGAGACTGCCTATCTTTCTCCTGCAGAGATTTGAACTGTGTGCCTTTGAGCTGCCAATGCAAAAACTTACTAGTGAGTCACTAAAACTCACTTTCTTCCTCCCCATAAAAGGTATAACATTCAAGTAATAAAGATATCAGAAGTGGAGGCAAAAGAGAAAGGAATGTAAAACATATATATATATCATAATTAAGCTAAGATTTTTACTAGATAAATGTAGATACAAAAATCACAACTCACAAAACATCAAAAAGAATACATACCGTACCCGGTTCAAATCCACCAGATGCTCTGCTGGAGAAGGAGGGGGCAATCTCCTCCTATACCAGTCAGATCTGATTTGACGGTACACATAAAAAATAATAAAATAAAATTTAATTTTTTTTAAAAAAAAGAATACATACTAAGACCACTTTATATTTCTGGGTATAATGTATCTAGACCGCAGAAAGACAAAGACAAACTGAAAACCTTAAAGGAAGTTAGGGTTAAAAAAGCTTCTAGTAGCCTAGTGATAAGTTGTGCTGTCTACCTAAAGGCACTCAGAAGGAATCCACCAGCTGCTAGGAGAAAGATGGGCAATCTCCTCCCTTGCAATTTAAAGCCTCTGAAAATTCACTGGAGGGTCAGCGATGAGTCAATATTGCTTTGATGGCAAACAACATAGAACTGTATTCATGTTAATCTTCTTTATAGAAATCATACAGACAAATCTGAATATTTACACTGTTAAAACAATAAAAATAACAATCCAGTAAAATTAAATGTGAAAAGGCTGGAAAGAATTTAAGGCAGAAACATATTAGAAAAGAAAAATCCATTATTTTCCATCACAAAGCTGTAAAAAAGTGATGACTGTAGCCTACAAAAGGCAGAAAAGTTGTGTGACTTGGAAAAAACAGGCATTCCTTTCAAATTTCAACAGCTACATGCTGTATCCAATGACATTACCCTTCAAAAGTATATATCTTTCCTTTGAAAGATATATTCTCATATAAACAGAAACTAATCTGTTGCCAGTAGAACTGTATAGTAAGAAATGCTAAAATAAGTGCTTATAACTAGAAAAATTACACAATCCAGAAACACGGATGTAAAGCAAGGAAAAGCATTAGATAAGGAAACAATAATGGAAAAACAAATCTTTAGCATTTCTTGATTAGAAGGAGAGCAGATAAGGTACCCGTCAGGCTGTTAACTTAAAAATCAGAACTTTAAATCTGCCACTTGTTCCAAAGAAGAAAGATGAGCAGCTTCAGAAACCCAATGAAGAATCATGAGTCAGAATTTACTAAAAAGCAGACGGTTGGGTTTGGCTTGATTCCTAATTGGTTAGTTACTGTTTGTTCACAATTCTAACAAGTGAAATTAATCACAACAGTATTACCAGGGACAGCAGGAAGAAAACGAGAATTTTTTTTTTACCTGCCCTCACCATGACCCATCACATATACAGTCCCCAGGTGATAAAAGTTTGACTTACAGTCAATCCTTATCCTTTAAAATGGTTCACTCATGACTAGCAAAGTGAAACAGAAAATGACATGAAATATTACAACTTGGCAGATTCAGTACTGTACCAATCACAGGAATAACTAAGGAATGATGCCCTACAATAAGATACTCAGAAGAGTCATAGTTAACACCTTCAGGAGCATGAAGATTTATATACAGATCTGTAAAAAAGTGACAGAATTGTGAGAAAGTGACATACAAGGGAGTACTGCTAAAAAATCTGCATCAAAATATTTGATTGGTATGAAATATGTATTTTGCCCTTCCTTTTCTAAAAGATTAAATTTCTACCAAGTTCAACCTATACTTTATCATTCCAGGTATATTTCCAGTTCACTGTAACTTGAAAATGTGGATCTCTTCTGGAGAAGTTTCTGTGGCCCTGCCTAAACCAGTTTCAAGTTCTGACAAATATGTAAGGTATAGAACAGATTTCCTATTTAACCTGGGAAGTGCCTACAATGTTATTAGAAAGTAGATCAATTGTAAATGTATGTCATCTATATCACAGAATAAATGATTACGTTTTTACATTAGGAAAAGGGTGTAATAAAAAAGAAAACTCACAAAAAAACGGAAGAAAAATATAGCCAGAATTCTCCTTAGAAAGAAGGATTATTCTGGAGACTTAGTCTCCCTTTAGATGTGTTTTCAAACAGGCCGATCCCTGGAGAAACATGGGCCTGTGAAAAAGATGAAGATCCTCTACAAGATGGGTTGACACAGCCATGACCTCAAACATACCTAACCTATTGTGAGAAGACCTAAGACTTGGATCATTTTGTTATAGATAGGGTCACTAGGAGTTGGAAGTAGCTCCATGGCACCTAACAGCAATAATTTGGACTGAAAATCTGGAAAGCAGGTCTGGCAGAAAGATTTCTTTAATTATTTTTATTGTTTTTATGTGTGTGTATTTAACAAAAGTTAAGCAATACAAGTCAGAACCACCTAAAAAAAAATAAATAAAAAGGGAAAAAGAGCCAAACACATGAAAGCCTAAAAAGCACTGCAGAAAGCAATGAGACTGAATAGTCAATAGGTAAATTCAACAAAATCAAAAGCTAGTTCTTTCATAAACTCACTGCCAATGAGTTGGCTGACTCATAGCAACCTTTGACTCAAGTTTCTTTCTCCCTCAGAGCACCTGATGGAACATTATGGATAGTAACCTGACACATTATAGACTACGTCACCAGAATTCCTTGGTACTTTGGAAAGATCAAAAAAAAGATTAAAAAACTTCTAGCCAAGAAAATCCAGAAAAAAGAAAGACAACGAATATAGGAAATGAATGAGGGTTCAGGTCTCATGGACACTGAAAGAAGAATTAAAAAAATATTAGTAATTACTCTATGCTCAAACGTTTAAGCCAGGAAATTAAAAGGCGCATTGCCATGGGAAAGTCTGCTGTTAGGGACCTCTCCAAAGTACTGAAGAGCAATGGTGTCTCTCTGGAGACTAAGGTGCGTCTGATACAGGCCATGGTCTTTGTAATCACTTGTTATGCATCAGAGAGTTGGACAATGACCAAGGAGGATAGAAGGAGAATTGATGCCTTTGAGCTGTGGTGCTGGAGAAGAGTATTGAGGGTAACATGGACTGCTAGGAAACAAACAGATTTGTCCTGGAGAGGGTTAAACCGGGTGGCTCCTTGGAGGCAAGGATTCTGAGGCTCCGTCTAACACATTTTGGACATGCTGTGAGGAGAGACCGGTCCTTGGAGAGGGACATCATGCTTGGGAGGGTGGAGGGACAGCGCAGGAGAGGAAGGCCCTCTATGAGGTGGATTGATTCAGTGACTGGGATAATTGGGATGAG